CCTGTACGATAAACCGCTACTTTTGTCAAATCCTGTGAAGTTTGTGGCCAAAAAGCGATGCGGCAAATGTGTGTATTTTTATTTTGTATCTCCATTCTTACTTCATGTGTGTTTATGTGAACAGAGTCGACAAGAGGGAGTGCAGGGAAAAGCAGTACAGAGGGATTTTCTTAATGTGATTAGGACTTTAGAACAGAGTTTGTGAACTTATTTTGACTTTTGAGCTTCAGTATGAATGGGAAATATTTACCATTAAATTTCATTAAATCATGTTTAAATAGTTTACCGGGTTTGTTTGGCTCTAATCAGCTGTTACTAGTGCGGCTTATATGTGGACAAAAAGTACTGTACTTTGAAACTACTACTACTGTCGTGATTTAGAGTAATTCAGAAATACATTGAATAGAATTGAAATGTAGCTGGTTCGGTTTGTTTACAGGTGTGCTTAATAATCCGGCATGTACTGTACTTTAATCAAATTAGTAACAATTTGTGACCATTTAAAACAGCTGTGTCCCCACTTCAGATACAGCCATGACATTGTACAGGCTACAATACATGGACATTCATTTTCTGGATTTTTCTTCACACTGCTGCGTTCAAATTGAGTCAGTCTATTCCACACATGCTTTTCCAAGTAAATTATTTTGCGGTGGTAGAGTGGGCGTAAATGTGACTTCAGCAGTTGGAGGTTTGCAGGTGACTTTCGTGCAGGATGGTGGCGAGGCTGGTGTCGTAGAAGCCGTCCTCGTCCTCAGAGCTCAGAGTGGAGCCGATCGCGGAGCGGTGACTCGAAAGACCTTTACGCCTGGACACACACAAGACACGGAACGATGGGATAAGATAGGATTAGGCACACTTTATTGTCCCAAAGGAAACAGCTCTGCATGAATGAAGGAAAATCATGTTTACCTGTCCACTGTCCCTGCTCAAATAAAGTACAAACCGAACCATTGTGTCCCACTCAAGGCTTCTTCTGGAATGTTCCCCAGTAAGACTTTAAAGACTGAACCATGTTGGATACAAAGATTATTTTCAGATACACTTAACAATTATGACTGGACCAGTGATTTCTGTTTTGATGGTTGTAGAAAAACATATTTGAGACTGAATCCTAAACCCAAATTTGAGGTGATTAAAATATACCAACTGTAACGTCCTCAAAACAACAGTCCCTGCTGACCTCTGTCTGTGTTGTGTGTCTGTGTGCGCCTGTCTGTGCTGTGTGTCTGCGTGCGCCTGTCTGTGTGCGCCTGTCTGTGTTGTGTGTCTGTGTGCGCCTGTCTGTGCTGTGTGTCTGTGTGCGCCTGTCTGTGTTGTGTGTCTGCGTGCGCCTGTCTGTGCTGTGTGTCTGCGTGCGCCTGTCTGTGTGCGCCTGTCTGTGTGCGCCTGTCTGTGTGCGCCTGTCTGTGTGCGCCTGTCTGTGTTGTGTGTCTGTGTGCGCCTGTCTGTGCTGTGTGTCTGCGTGCGCCTGTCTGTGCTGTGTGTCTGTGTGCGCCTGTCTGTGGTGTGTGTCTGTGTGCGCCTGTCTGTGCTGTGTGTCTGTGTGCGCCTGTCTGTGTTGTGTGTCTGCGTGCGCCTGTCTGTGTGCGCCTGTCTGTGTTGTGTGTCTGTGTGCACCTGTCTGTGCTGTGTGTCTGTGTGCGCCTGTCTGTGCGTCTGTGTGCGCCTGTCTGTGTTGTGTGTCTGTGTGCGTCTGTCTGTGTGCGCCTGTCTGTGTTGTGTGTCTGTGTGCGCCTGTCTGTGCTGTGTGTCTGCGTGCGCCTGTCTGTGTTGTGTGTCTGCGTGGGCCTGTGTGTGCACCTGTCTGTGTGCGCCTGTCTGTGCTGTGTGTCTGTGTGCGCCTGTCTGTGCGTCTGTGTGCGCCTGTCTGTCTTGTGTGTCTGTGTGCGTCTGTCTGTGTGCGCCTGTCTGTGTTGTGTGTCTGTGTGCGCCTGTCTGTGCTGTGTGTCTGTGTGCGCCTGTCTGTGTTGTGTGTCTGTGTGCGCCTGTCTGTGCTGTGGTGTCTGTGTGCCTGTCTGTGCTGTGTGTCTGTGTGCGCCTGTCTGTGCTGTGTGTCTGTGTGCGCCTGTCTGTGCTGTGTGTCTGTGTGCGCCTGTCTGTGCTGTGTGTTTGTGTGCGCCTGTCTGTGCTGTGTGTCTGTGTGCGCCTGTCTGTGCTGTGTGTGCCTGTCTGTGCTGTGTGTCTGTGTGCGCCTGTCTGTGCTGTGTGTGCCTGTCTGTGTTGTGTGTCTGTGTGCGCCTGTCTGTGTTGTGTGTCTGTGTGCGCCTGTCTGTGCTGTGTGTGCCTGTCTGTGCTGTGTGTCTGTGTGCGCCTGTCTGTGCTGTGTGTGCCTGTCTGTGTTGTGTGTCTGTGTGCGCCTGTCTGTGTTGTGTGTCTGTGTGCCCCGTCCATCAGAGGCACAACGTTATGGAACATATGAAACTGTGGGACCTGAAGAACATTTAAAGGAGTCCTGAAACTTTGATGAAGATCTGCTCTTCCTCGGACTTTCTCTTTTAAATTCTTTCTGTTGTGCTTGCCGACTTTTTGTTTGTACTTTTACCTAATTGTGTGTTTGTGTGTTTCTGCCTTAGGACAATGGATGCTATTTAGCTGTTGTGCTAATTCCTGCATATTTATGTTGACGCTGTTTGTAGACACATTGATTAATATGTACTGTTCTAAATTAAAGAAAAATAAAATCTATGCTTGTCAAAAATACCAAAACAAAACATGAATTTGGGACGTTTTACGAACTGACTACATACATTTTGTTTTCTTCTTTCTGCTCCTTTTTGTGCGACAGGACTACGATTATTCCAACTATAATTGTAATTTGTGATGTATTGTCGTGTCCACAATTGAAATTTATAAATATTTTAGTTCTGCATCATCAGAGTAAGTTACAGGTCGTATCTGTGGAGAGTCCATTCACACGGAGAATTCTGGCTTTTGAGCAAAGTCCAAGCCAAACAGCCACATCTATGGGTCAAGCATTAAAGACTAGACATGGACGAGAGCGCCGTCTGCTGGACATACTGTAGACATGGGGTATAAACACCAGGCTGTAAAACGTCACTCAAGAACATGATAAATGGGATCTAATATTTTAGTACTGACTTTTTAAGAAAGTTAATGCCAAAAATCATGTAAAAATATCAAACAAAACCTTCAGCTTTACATAATCTGTCCCCTTTTCCACAATTGTAGTTCCACAGACCACATTAGTGAGGATTTTCAACAGAGAATGAAGTGTTGAATTTTAAACAGGCCGTAACAAAACAGCAGAGGTCAAACTCACAGGTCACAGGTCACAGGGCAAAGATCATTTTCCAAAACACAGCACATTTCAATAAGAGTTTAAAATCTGGTGCCTTCTCTCTTCTCTCCACTGGTTCTTCTGCTGAATGACTCCTCTCGGCTCAGATTCAATAGAGCTTAACAGAGGGATCTTTCGGCGCCAAGAAGATGATTGCTACAAGATGGAAGCCCCCTCGCTCACTGTGGCCGGGCAGTGGGTCTTGGCCTTTATGGACATCACTCTCCACAACGTATGTCCAAGTAATAAACGGTCCAGGATCACTGCGGCCAAGTTGATCCTGAACTCCTAACCCTCGTCTTAACCATTCTTAACCCTCAATATAACTATAGTGAACCCCAGCCCTAACCCTAACCTCTGACCCCTAACAACCAATCTCATGTCCCGGTCACACTGTGCGAGTGAAGAGCTACGAAAATGTGGCCCATGCTCAATGATTCTTCTCACTTTGGTCATAATAGACCAGGCATGTCAAAGTCAAATACATCAGAGGGCCAAAAAAAATTTTTGCCCTCATAGCACCAGCCCCTCACTGACCCTCTGCAGGTGGTGAGTCCACAGGAGGACGGCTGCTCTCTGAGTGTGAGCATAGCCTTGATCTTTCAGTGGGGGCTTTGGGCAAAGTGGGGTTTAGTGTCTTGCCCAAGGACACAACGTCAGCAGTCATCAGTGGGAGTCGGTGGAGAAGGTGTAGAGGTGGGAATTGAACCCACAACCTTCAGGCCTGAAGGCCAATGCTCTACCAACTGAGCTACTGTCGCTGTTCTGAGAACATGAAAATAGTAAAAAAAAAAACAAGCTCAAACTTGGTGAAATGTAAAAGAGCTGTCTGGACCTCTTTTCGGGGCGTTTTTTGATTAAATCTGCAGAATGGATTATACTTTGGGAAATACAAGGGGATGTTCTTCTTCAATGAACAGTTACGGAGAGAAAGAGACTGAGCAAGGATGGGGAAAGTCTAATTTGTTGGAGCAGCAGAAGACGAAATGCAAAGTCTGACATTGTTTACACTTACATATAAATATAGCTGAGAAAATAAGCTTTATAATGATATATAGCTTGTGGCTAATGAAGTTCAAAATACGGCGGGGGCTAGCGAGCTTAAGGGGTCAATACATTGCCTCAATGGCAGGCAATGTCCCGGGGGCCATAGATAATTCATTCGCGGGCCGGATTTGGCCCGCGGGCCTTGACTTTGACACATGTGTAATAGACCCATCACACTTCTCTCCAACTGGGTTTTAAAGTCGTTTCTTGCCGATGCAGGAGTCTGTTGGACTGGTACAGGGTCTGACTGAAAGAACTGTGGTGATGATTCAGGACAGATGAACGGTTTGATTCTCTGATCTGTTCCTGCGATATCAACGGTTTTGTGAAGTCCTCTGAGATAAATACTTTTGTGATTTAGGGCCATAAGAGAATACCATTCTCCTCACCACTTTCCAAAGACACTTCATAACTGCCCTCGCCTTATCTGACCTCCTCAGCTGCATCTGCCGCCACTCGCTCGCCCTTCACCCCTCCCGCCCCGCCCCCCTTCACCACTCTCCGTCCCCAGGCCCGACTCAACCCATGATCACATGGGGATCCAAGCATCATTATTTATCATAAACCATATTAGGGTTGGGGGGGTGCAGACAAGCTGACCAGAACTGAGCCCAGCCACCCTTCACACAGGGAGGTGAATAATATTATTTTACTACAGTAGTAGTTGATGCTTCTCGTCTCCCCTGAGGAGTTCCAGAGCGGGCGTGGAGCTTTGTAGCCTGGGTGAGCTTGCCAGCCCCCCCACCCTACTGGCTTAATGGGAAGACAAAAGGAGGAAGGTTTTGCTCTAGGGTTGCTTGGATGAGTCTGCCTGGGGGAGTAGGAGTTGTTCGTGGAGCGTGGCGGGGAGGGAGAGAATTGGAGGCGAGGCAGGTGGAGGAGGTCCCGATACGAGAGATTGGGCGGTTATGGCATTGCAATGACGAGGTGAGGATAACTTTCTATCTATATATGGCCTAACTACCCAGAAATTTCTTCAGAGGACTTCACAAAACGTTGGTTGATATCGCCTAAGGAACAGATATGGGAATCCAAAGTATCTTCCTGATATCCCCAGTTCTTTTTCAGATCAGCCCTGTACCGTACAGATCCTGATCCGGCCCGAACGATAATTACAACCCAGTTGGAGAGAAGATGTTATGGGACCTCTTTAAACAAGTTTAAAGTCCCGTGCCGCGGATCGGCCTCAAAATAATCATTGGAACACACGAGTGTTATTCATTGTGAATCCAGTACAATACAGTCATTAGATTGTTTTGTTTATTTATTTTGCATTTTGTTGTATTATTGGCATACATAACATATTTAGTTCAACGCACCAGACCAGAAATAAGAAGGTCGAGCTAGCCACAGGACACTCCTGGACAGTTGAGTGACAGCTTGAACTCGACAAAAAGGTTGTTATCACACAGCAGCAGTGTGGTTTCACAGGAACAGCTGCCTTAAAACAAACTTTTACATGGGAAACTTTGAATCTGAAAACCCACATATAACAACATGGAAATCTTCGACTATGAAGGAGAGTCCCTTGTGCACTCAGCAAACTACAAGGTCGCACAAGACAGGGCAGTGAAGATGGGGCCCCTTGGATTTGAAAATCCGCCTAGCTTGGATCACCAAGCCACCCGCCCACGACTGGCTGAAGAACCAATCCGTCTTACGACACAACCACTCAGAAACTCCGCAAGGGCTGGCTTGAGAAGGTGACAGTTTGAAAATAAAATGGTTTACGATGTCATTGAAAACATCAGTTTTACAGTTGAAGGTTAGGTGATCCCTGACTTAGGTTCCCTGGACACAGGGCAGGCAGGTGGGGGACAGGAGGGGCCCTGAGCAAACGACACTATGGCGGGGACAGACTGTCACCCCCTGCAGGACACTCTCTCTGCTCTGGAGAGCAGCTTCAGTGACAGACTAGTCCACCCTCGCGGTGTGAAGGAGAGTTCCGTGGTTTTCCTTACTGGCGGCTGCAACTGTACAATAAGAACTGCGAGCCTGTACATTTTCATATCCATCTTAAAGTAAGTACATTCGGTAAATCATGGTGGCAATACTGCAACTTCAGGATGTCACAGAACAATGGTCCACTTTACTTATATACTTTTTTATCCGCACTATTGAACGGTACAGGTAGATAAACTGCACTACTCACATATAGATTTGTTGACTGGTATTGAAGGCGTTTTCAGCACTGTACAGCAGTTATGTTAGTTAAGAAACATAGCACAATTATTATGAATAGTAATATATTGTGTGTGATCCTGGTGCTCTACTACGGTCCTAGATGTGCCGATGCAACATCGAAATTTCCCCACTGTGGGACAATCAAATAATTCGTCTTCTCTTCTATCCCAAATGCATTGCTCAGGCCATGCTAACTGGTTCAATACAAAAACAGTAGTTTCGTGAACAAGTGGCTGTACATGAACAATTGTGTTTCAGTGTGTACAGTTTTACAGCCTATAGGCATATATGGGTGGGGTCCAGGTGCCATTGAGAAATGGCAGAGTCCTGGGCCTGTGGGTCTGGGACCCCTCTCTCTCTGGGGTCCTGTGTCCTTTCCCTGTGGCTGCAGCCGGGCGCTCTGCTCCTGGGGGCAGGATGGCGCCTTGGATGGCGCTTCTTCACGGTGCCCTCAACCCCAACCCCCCCCCCCCACATCGGCCGCCAGGCCCCCTTTGGTCTTTTAGTGTTTACTACGGTACCTGGGTAGGGTGGTTGTGTGTGTGTGGGTTGGATAGAGGAGCCCTGGCACTAGGAGCCCTTGGGGCCCTGGGCCCCGACGGCCCCGACAGCCCAGGGCCGGGCTTCGGCCATGACCGCATAATACCCTCGGACACGGGGGGGGGGGGGGGGGGGGCGCCGGGGCTTCGGGCTTTCATTTTTCAGAGCGGCAGAATAAGTTACGAGCGCACCCACTGAAATAATAGCGTTCTATCACCTGTAGTGTTTGTTGTTCTGTGTGATGTGGGTCATTGACGGCACCGACGTTCTTACAGGGTGTGTTGCAGCATCGGGCATCAACAGATGCGGCCGGTGCACTCGCACCAACTCCGCACAACACAGAACTCTGGTCTCTCTCTGGTCCCTCTCTGGTCTTCCTCTGGTCTCTCTCTGGTCTCTCTCTCTGGTCTTCCTCTGGTCTCTCTCTGGTCTCTCTCTGGTCTTCCTCTGGTCTCTCTCTGGTCTCTCTCTGGTCTCTCTGGTCTCCCTCTGGTCTCTCTCTGGTCTCTCTTTGGCCTCTCTCTGGCCTCTCTCTGGTCTCTCTCTGGCCTCTCTCTGGTCTCTCTCTGGTCTCTCTCTGGTCTCTCTCTGGTCCCTCTCTGGTCTTCCTCTGGTCTCTCTCTGGTCTCTCTCTGGTCTTCCTCTGGTCTCTCTCTGGTCTCTCTCTGTGTTTGTTATTATTGCTTTTCCTGTTTCTGATCTGCTGTTGGAGAATCGACAACTTTGTAAAGTCCTCCAAGACGACTGCTGTTGTGATTTAGGACTAAACTAAAATTGTGGAGCACCAGGAGGAAACCGGAGCACCAGGAGGAAACCGGAGCACCAGGAGGAAACCGGAGCACCAGGAAGAAACCGGAGCACCAGGAAGAAACCGGAGCACCACGAGGAAACCGGAGCACCACGAGGAAACCGGAGCACCAGGAGGAAACCGGAGCACCAGGAGGAAACCGGTGCATACACAGGAAGAACATGCAAAGTCCACATAAAAAGGTCCGGTCTTGAGATGAAATCGAACCCAGGACCTTCCTGATGTAAAGCCCAAGCTCTAACGCCTTGGGAACAAGACTAGGTCAAAGTGCAGGTTAAATGAGTCGCTCTGACACAGCAGCCCGTGTCACTCGCCCGGGGGAGGGGCCTGTTCTCTGGGGGAGGGGCCTGTTCTCTGGGGGAGGGGCCTGTTCACTGCTGTTGTTCACTGTTTAATCCAGGGATGTCAAAGTCAAATACATCAGGGGCCAAAAAACAAATTTGCTTCAAGCCGAGGGCCGGACTGGTGTGTGTGTGTGTGTGTGTGTCTGTGCCTGTGTGTGTGTGTGTGTGTGTCTGTATGTGTGTGTGCCTGTGTGTGTGTGTGTGTGTCTGTGTGTGTGTGTGTGTCTGTGCCCGTGTGTGTGTGTGTGTGTGTGTCTGTATGTGTGTGTGTGTGTGTGTGTGTGTGTGTCGGCGTGTGTGCGTCTGTGTGTGTACTCACAGTTGAAGCTGGTGCTGATGGAGTTGGAGGCTAACAGGCTGTGGACAGTGATCTGGTAGATGATGTGCAGCAGCAGGAAGGACAGACTGGTGAAGCACAGGGACTGCAGCAGGCGCCCGGTGTGGCCTGAAGGAGAGACGGGACACAATACAATACATGGTTATTTATAAAGCGCTTTTAAAACAGCAGCACCAGTGTCCAAAGTGCTGTGAACAAAGTGCTGTGTCTTCACAATTGGCAATACAAGAAATAATGTATGTAGCTTGTCTGCCCCTGGTCTCTCCAAGATGTCTTCCCCCCGGTCTCTCCAAGATGTCTGCCCCTGGTCTCTCCAAGATGTCTGCCCCCGGTCTCTCCAAGATGTCTGCCCCTGGTCTCTCCAAGATGTCTGCCCCCGGTCTCTCCAAGATGTCTGCCCCTGGTCTCTCCAAGATGTCTTCCCCCCGGTCTCTCCAAGATGTCTGCCCCTGGTCTCTCCAAGATGTCTGCCCCCGGTCTCTCCAAGATGTCTGCCCCTGGTCTCTCCAAGATGTCTTCCCCCCGGTCTCTCCAAGATGTCTGCCCCTGGTCTCTCCAAGATGTCTGCCCCCGGTCTCTCCAAGATGTCTGCCCCTGGTCTCTCCAAGATGTCTGCCCCTGGTCTCTCCAAGATGTCTTCCCCCCGGTCTCTCCAAGATGTCTGCCCCTGGTCTCTCCAAGATGTCTGCCCCTGGTCTCTCCAAGATGTCTTCCCCCTGGTCTCTCCAAGATGTCTGCCTGTTCAGATCAGTTGTGCTCATTGGTTCACACTCGCACCGTGGACGTCTCAAACATTAGAAGAAGTGACGTGTTCTGTAAGTTCTGGTTTAGGGATGTAAATCGGCGACCGGTTAACCGGTGGTTGACCGTCACAGCGTTAACCGGTCAAATCTGTCGGTTAAAAAAGAGAAAAAGAGGAGAGGGGAGGTCTCTTAATAACGCTATTTTAAGCCCTATTTGCACGGTGTGACGAGCGGGTCCCTATCTAGCTGTGTGCGCCCATGTATTATAAACTCCGGGACGACTCTCACGCCGCACGAGCCACATATGCGCGCGCGCACACACACACACGCACACGCACACGCACACGCACACTCACACACACACACACACACACACACACACACACTTTCCCCCTCTCCATACGTAACATCCACACGCATCATCTCTCCCCTCTGTTACCGTCAAAGTTGCACACTGGCGCGGGTCAGAACTACATTGGAGCTTACACACACACACACACACATATACACACACACACACATACACACACACATACCGGTCTGTCGCGCTCCTCTGTGTCACGGAGCCCAAAGGATTCGCGCAAATACGCGGCTCCAGTCAAACCACATGGAACATGTTTGTGTTTATGGTCCTCGGGATCAGCTCCACACACATCACTTGTATTTAAACTTTTGTGAAGACCTGTGAGACGCGGCTCGTCACTCGCTGCTCTGACCATGTGAACGAGCCGTCGTTTGCTGCTACAAAGTTTTGGTATTAACCCGCAGCAGAGCAGAATGGGAAGATTAAAACAGCAGTTCTCTGTGCGCAAAGGTGCCGGAGCTGTTGCGGGTTTTGGCGCCGCTGTCTCGGCTCTGATCCAGTAGAACGCAGAGCTGCACTTATGAAAAGTACGCGGCTCGAAATGGCTGTTATTTCAAAGAACGTGGACTATTTTAAACTACGCGGTTAACCGGTTTCAACCGGTTAATGAGGCTCGGTGGTCGGTCATGAAAATTCATAGTTTTTTACATCCCTATTCTGGTTCTCCTGGTCTTGTGCAGTAGGTGTGCAGTGGTTCTACATCTACAGGACCAGAGCGAGACCAGAGTGAGACCATGGAGAGACCAGAGAGAGACCAGACAGAGATCATCGCGAGAGACTAGAGAGAGAGACTTGAGAGGGACAAATTTGCATTTCGACCAATCAAAGCATTGCTATTCCGAGAGTGAATACTTAAGGCTGTAGTACCGCGGGTGGCCTCTAGTCCATCTAGATTTAGGCTGCAGTACCGCGGGTGGCCACTAGTCCATGTGGTTTTAGGCTGCAGTACCGCGGGTGGCCACTAGTCCATGTGGAGCGGGTTGAATCCATGGTTAGCACGTACAAGTATCAGTGTTTTTAAAGTTCAATGACAGATTTCCTGGTTAATGTTGGCTCTACTTTGACTTTACTCAAATTCAAATAAACACATTTTAACCCGAAAGGCCTCGACCGCCGTCTCTCATCAGATTTATGGAGGAGTTATGAAAACATGACATTTCCCAGAATTTATTATTATCATTGAGAAGCTTCTGGAGATTTCTTGGATCAGAGAGAGATCAGTGGGAGAAGTTTCAAACGATCGCTTTGGCCTCGGTCATGGTTCTGCCACTTCAGACTTTTACTCCACAAAGAAAAAAGGTTTGGAGCTGGAACCATATTCTGTCTTCACCAATGAGACGAGAGAGAGAGAGCAGAGAGAGAGAGACCGCAGAGAGAGAGCAGAGAGAGAGAGAGAGAGACCACAGAGAGAGAGACCAGAGAGAGACCACAGAGAGAGACCAGAGAGAGAGAGAAACCACAGAGAGAGAGAGCAGAGAGAGAGAGAGAAACCACAGAGAGAGAGAGCAGAGAGAGAGAGAGAAACCACAGAGAGCAGAGAGAGAGATACCAAAGAGAGAGAGAGAGCAGAGCAAGAGAGAGCAGAGTTAGAGACCACAGAGAGAGAGAGAGCAGAGAGAGAGAGACCGCAGAGAGAGAGCAGAGAGAGAGAGAGAGAGAGAGAGACCACAGAGAGAGAGAGCAGAGAGAGCAGAGAAAGAGAGACCAGAGAGAGACCACAGAGAGAGACCAGAGAGAGAGAGCAGAGAGAGAGAGAAACCACAGAGAGAGAGAGCAGAGAGAGAGAGAGAAACCACAGAGAGCAGAGAGAGAGATACCAAAGAGAGAGAGAGCAGAGCAAGAGAGAGCAGAGTTAGAGACCACAGAGAGAGAGAGAGACCACAGAGAGAGAGAGAGCAGAGAGAGAGAGACCGCAGAGAGAGAGCAGAGAGAGAGAGAGAGAGAGAGAGAGAGAGAGAGACCAGAGAGAGAGCAGAGAGAGAGAGAAACCACAGAGAGAGAGACCAGAGAAAGAGAGCAGAGAGAGAGAGAGAAACCACAGAGAGAGGGATACCAAAGAGAGAGAGAGCAGAGTAAGAGAGAAAGCAGAGTTAGAGAGCAGAGAGAGAGAGAGAAACCACAGAGAGAGAGATACCAAAGAGAGAGAGAGCAGTGCAAGAGAGAGAGCAGAGTTAGAGAGTAGAGAGAGAGAGAGAGAGACCACAGATAGAGAGAGCAGAGGGAGACCAGAGAGGGACCAGAGTGAGACCAGAGAGAGACCACAGAGAGAGACTAGAGAGATAGACCAGAGAGAGACCAGAGCGAGACCAGAGAGAGACCAGAGAGAGAGACCATCAGAGAGAGACCAGAGAGAGACCAGAGAGAGACCAGAGAGGGACCAGAGAGGGACCAGAGAGAGACCAGAGAGGGACCAGAGAGAGAGACCAGAGTGAGACCAGAGAGAGACTAGAGAGATAGACCAGAGAGAGACCAGAGCGAGACCAGAGAGAGACCAGAGAGAGAGACCAGAGAGAGAGACCAGAGAGAGACCAGAGAGAGACCAGAGAGAGACCAGAGAGAGACCAGAGTGAGACCAGAGGGAGACCAGAGTGAGACCAGAGAGAGACCAGAGGGAGACCAGAGAGAGACCAGAGAGAGACCAGAGAGAGACCAGAGAGAGACCAGAGAGAGACCAGAGAGAGACCAGAGAGAGACCAGAGAGAGAGACCAGAGAGAGACCATCAGAGAGACCAGAGAGAGACCAGATAGAGACCAGAGAGAGACCAGAGAGAGACCAGAGAGAGACCAGAGAGAGACCAGAGAGAGACCAGAGAGAGACCAGAGAGAGACCAGAGAGAGAGACCATCAGAGAGAGACCAGAGAGAGACCAGAGAGAGACCAGAGAGAGACCAGAGTGAGACCAGAGGGAGACCAGAGAGAGACCAGAGAGAGACCAGAGGGAGACCAGAGAGAGACCAGAGAGAGAGACCATCAGAGAGAGACCAGAGAGAGACCAGAGAGAGACCAGAGAGAGAGACCAGAGAGAGACCAGAGAGAGACCAGAGAGAGACCAGAGAGAGAGACCATCAGAGAGAGACCAGAGTGAGACCAGAGGGAGACCAGAGAGAGACCAGAGAGAGACCAGAGGGAGACCAGAGAGAGACCAGAGAGAGAGACATCAGAGAGAGACCAGAGAGAGACCAGAGAGAGACCAGAGAGAGAGACCAGAGAGAGACCAGAGAGAGACCAGAGAGAGACCAGAGAGAGAGACCATCAGAGAGAGACCAGAGAGAGACCAGAGAGAGAGACCAGAGAGAGACCAGAGTGAGACCAGAGAGAGACCAGAGAGAGACCAGAGCCATGGTTCTTGGCCAGTTCAGACTTTACTGCACTTTGGTTTTGGGCTGGGACCACAGTCTGTCGTCATAAATCTGTGCATTGAGATTGATGGTGAATTAAGTAAATTGGAGAAGTGCAGTGTTCGTCAAAACAATCCAGAAAGTGATTGGAAGAAACACAAAGAGACGTCCAATTGAACCTAAACTGATGAACAGATTAAAGCTGGGGTACCTAACTTTAAAGCCAAAACAATTTAAGTAAAAGCTGTTTGGTTCCATCTTTCGTTTCCTCATGGATGTGTTACACGCTCTCAAAATGGTTCAGTCCAGGCACGTCCAGAACACGGCTGTATGTAGACTCTATACAGCTTCATGAAGCCAAAGAGGGAAGCGCTCAAGGACAAAGATTTGCTCCAACTCGCTCTGGCTCTTGTCACATTCACCATTTTGAGCTTATAAAATCTATTGTAAATCCAGACATGAAAACCACTGGCTCCAGGTATCTCATGTTCAAATCAGCCTCTTTCATATACAGCAGTTCACTATCATCCAGCCAACTTCAGCCCAGCCAATGTTAGCATGTTATACCTTGTAGAGCATGCTAAACCTCCACACAGACCTTGGTTTTAAAGAAGAACATGAGGCTAATGCAGCTGCTGATAGAAGTGGATCTACTCCTGCTGGGCCAGAGTGAGGGTGGTTTCAGTTTATGGGGAGAAGACAAATGTTAAGTATTAATCATTATTGTGATCCCAGACTGGGATCTGAACCCAGGCCACAACACTGGACATGCAGAATCCACTCCAGACCAGAGAGTGAGGACAGTGCAACGACGATTACTGTTCGAATGTTCTGGAAAAGGCTGCAAGTCCAAAGTCAGTCTAAACTGCTGTTGTTTTGGGTTTTACAATCCTGGTTTTTCTTGCTTTTTTCTGCAGTTCAGTGTTCATGGTTTTACACTGGGTCAGACCAGAGCAGAGAGGATTCATGGTCTGAACCAAGTGGATCAGGTGAATATCCACAAGAGGAATGCTAACTTTTGACTTTGGACCAGAGCAGAGAAAATGGTCTGAACCAAGCTCCACCTCTGCTGATGTGACCTGAAGGACTGTTTATTATTATTATTATTATTATTATTATTAATGTTAGGCTTTTTAGACAGATCAATTTGTTTGCTTTGACAAACTGTGAATGTCAAATGTTTTCAGCTGGCGACCAAAGAATAAATACATAAAAAAATTCAACGTATTTGTGTTGTTTGTGTGGATGTGTTTTGCTGCTACTGGACACCTGCCTTTCTCCCACAGGGACCAATAAAGAATCTGTCAGTCTATGAACGTGTCCGTCTATCTATCTATCTATCTATGTACTGTATACTGTATATATCTATCTATCTATGTACTGTATACTGTATATATCTATCTATCTATGTACTGTATATATCTATCTATATATCTATGTACTGTATACTGTATATATCTATCTATCTATGTACTGTATACTGTATATATCTATCTATCTATGTACTGTATATATCTATCTATCTATCTATGTACTGTATACTGTATATATCTATCTATCTATGTACTGTATATATCTATCTATCTATCTATGTACTGTATACTGTATATATCTATCTATCTATGTACTGTATATATCTATCTATCTATCTATGTACTGTATACTGTATATATCTATCTATCTATGTACTGTATACTGTATATATCTATCTATCTATGTACTGTATATATCTATCTATATATCTATGTACTGTATACTGTATATATCTATCTATCTATGTACTGTATACTGTATATATCTATCTATCTATGTACTGTATATATCTATCTATCTATCTATGTACTGTATACTGTATATATCTATCTATCTATGTACTGTATATATCTATCTATCTATCTATGTACTGTATACTGTATATATCTATCTATCTATGTACTGTATATATCTATCTATCTATCTATGTACTGTATACTGTATATATCTATCTATCTATGTACTGTATACTGTATATATCTATCTATCTATGTACTGTATATATCTATCTATCTATCTATCTATGTACTGTATACTGTATATATCTATCTATCTATGTACTGTATATATCTATCTATCTATCTATGTACTGTATACTGTATATATCTATCTATCTATGTACTGTATATATCTATCTATCTATCTATGTACTGTATACTGTATATATCTATCTACTGTATCTATGTACTGTATATATCTATCTATCTATCTATGTACTGTATACTGTATATAGCTATCTATCTATGTACTGTATATATCGGCACGGCGGCACGGTGGCTGAGTGGATAGCACTCTCGCCTCTCAGCAAGAAGGTCCTGGGTTCGAATCCCGGTCGGACCAGGGCCTTTCTGAGTGGAGTTTGCATGTTCTCCCCGTGTCTGCGTAGGTTTCCTCCGGGTACTCCGGTTTCCTCCGGGTACTCCGGTTTCCCCTACCACTAAAAATATGTCCAATAGTTCTGGCATGCGCCTCCTGTACTGGCGACCCCGCTCCCATCTCTGTGTGGAGTGAGAGACAAATGCCCAAAATTAACAATTGTAAACCGCTTTGAGACTCTGATCTGCAGCGAAAAGGCGGTATATAAATAAAAACTTACTTACTTACTATATCTATCTATCTATCTATGTACTGTATACTGTATATATCTATCTATCTATGTACTGTATACTGTATATATCTATCTATCTATGTACTGTATACTGTATATATCTATCTATCTATGTACTGTATACTATATATATCTATCTATCTATGTACTGTATATATCAATCTATCTATCTATGTACTGTATACTGTATATATCTATCTATCTATGTACTGTATATATCTATCTATCTATCTATGTACTGTATACTGTATATATCTATCTATCTATGTACTGTATATATCTATCTATCTATCTATGTACTGTATACTGTATATATCTATCTATCTATGTACTGTATACTGTATATATCTATCTATCTATGTACTGTATATATCTATCTATCTATCTATGTACTGTATACTGTATATATCTATCTACTGTATCTATGTACTGTATATATCTATCTATCTATCTATGTACTGTATACTGTATATAGCTATCTATCTATGTACTGTATATATCTATCTATCTATCTATGTACTGTATACTGTATATATCTATCTATCTATGTACTGTATACTGTATATATCTATCTATCTATGTACTGTATACTGTATATATCTATCTATCTATGTACTGTATATATCTATCTATCTATCTATGTACTGTATACTATATATATCTATCTATCTATGTACTGTATATATCAATCTATCTATCTATGTACTGTATACTGTATATATCTATCTATCTATGTACTGTATATATCTATCTATCTATCTATGTACTGTATACTGTATATATCTATCTATCTATGTACTGTATATATCTATCTATCTATCTATGTACTGTATACTGTATATATCTATCTATCTATGTACTGTATACTGTATATATCTATCTATCTATGTACTGTATATATCTATCTATCTATCTATGTACTGTATACTGTATATATCTATCTATCTATGTACTGTATATATCTATCTATCTATCTATGTACTGTATACTGTATATATCTATCTATCTATGTACTGTATCTATCTATCTATCTATCTATGTACTGTATACTGTATATATCTATCTACTGTATCTATGTACTGTATATATCTATCTATCTATCTATGTACTGTATACTGTATATATCTATCTATCTATGTACTGTATATATCTATCTATCTATCTATGTACTGTATACTATATATATCTATCTATCTATGTACTGTATACTGTATATATCTATCTATCTATGTACTGTATATATCTATCTATCTATCTATGTACTGTATACTGTATATATCTATCTATCTATGTACTGTATATATCTATCTATCTATCTATGTACTGTATACTGTATATATCTATCTATCTATGTACTGTATATATCTATCTATCTATCTATGTACTGTATACTGTATATATCTATCTATCTATGTACTGTATATATCTATCTATCTATGTACTGTATACTGTATATATCTATCTATCTATGTACTGTATATATCTATCTATCTATCTATGTACTGTATACTGTATATATCTATCTATCTATGTACTGTATACTGTATATATCTATCTATCTATGTACTGTATATATCTATCTATCTATCTATGTACTGTATACTGTATATATCTATCTATCTATGTACTGTATATATCTATCTATCTATCTATGTACTGTATACTGTATATATCTATCTATCTATGTGCTGTATATATCTATCTATCTATCTATGTACTGTATACTGTATATATCTATCTATCTATGTACTGTATATATCTATCTATCTATCTATGTACTGTATACTGTATATATCTATCTATCTATGTACTGTATATATCTATCTATCTATCTATGTACTGTATACTGTATATATCTATCTATCTATGTACTGTATACTGTATATATCTATCTATCTATGTACTGTATATATCTATCTATCTATCTATGTACTGTATACTGTATATATCTATCTATCTATGTACTGTATACTGTATATATCTATCTATCTATGTACTGTATATATCTATCTATCTATCTATGTACTGTATACTGTATATATCTATCTATCTATGTACTGTATACTGTATATATCTATCTATCTATGTACTGTATATATCTATCTATCTATCTATGTACTGTATACTGTATATCCATCTATCTATCTTTCTACGTCCCCAATGATAATGTCCTGGTGTTGACCCTGAGTATGTTTCCTCCTTCACACCTGTTTCTTTCCAGAGGAGGTGTGTGTGTGTGTGTGTGTCTGTGTGTGTGTGTCTGTGTGTGTCTGTGTTGAGCTCTCGGTGCAGTGACAGATTAGCACAGACGTGGATCATGGATAGATCCACAAAACGTACTCACATTTGACCACACTCAGGGAAAAACAAATAACCAGTTTGTTGACACTGGCCTCATGGCTTCACTCATGACTTTGAGGAACGCGATGTCGGACTTTACTTTCAGAAAGTGAACCGTAGCCAGACACTCGTAGAATTTGGCGCCTCCTTATTTTATCAACAAGTACAAATATGAGAGAGGAAGGCAGCCAATCACAGCAGAGATGAGCGGGTCACGTGCTGCAGCTGTGGAGGCGAGGAGGAGGTGAGGACGAGGCGAGGAGGAGGCGAGGAGGAGGCGAGGAGGAGGTGAGGAGGAGGTGAGGAGGAGGCGAGGAGGAGGTGAGGAGGAGGCGAGGAGGAGGCGAGGAGGAGGAGGGAGGTGAGGAGGAGGCGAGGAGGAGGCGAGGAGGAGGCGAGGAGGAGGCGAGGAGGAGGGAGGAGGAGGAGGCGAGGAGGAGGCGAGGAGGAGGCGAGGAGGAGGTGAGGAGGAGGTGAGGAGGAGGCAAGGAGGAGGTGAGGAGGAGGCGAGGAGGAGGCGAGGAGGAGGCGAGGAGGAGGTGAGGAGGAGGCGAGGAGGAGGTGAGGAGGAGGCGAGGAGGAGGTGAGGAGGAGGCAAGGAGGAGGTGAGGAGGAGGCAAGGAGGAGGCGAGGAGGAGGCGAGGAGGAGGTGAGGAGGAGGCGAGGAGGAGGTGAGGAGGAGGTGAGGAGGAGGCGAGGAGGAGGCGAGGAGGAGGCGAGGAGGAGGCGAGGAGGAGGCGAGGAGGAGGTGAGGAGGAGGCGAGGAGGAGGCGAGGAGGAGGTGAGGAGGAGGCGAGGAGGAGGCGAGGAGGAGGCGAGGAGGAGGCGAGGAGGAGGTGAGGAGGAGGCGAGGAGGAGGCGAGGAGGAGGCGAGGAGGAGGCGAGGAGGAGGGAGGAGGAGGCGAGGAGGAGGCGAGGAGGAGGCGAGGAGGAGGCGAGGAGGAGGTGAGGAGGAGGTGAGGAGGAGGCGAGGAGGAGGTGAGGAGGAGGCGAGGAGGAGGTGAGGAGGAGGCGAGGAGGAGGCGAGGAGGAGGCGAGGAGGAGGTGAGGAGGAGGCGAGGAGGAGGCGAGGAGGAGGCGGATGAAGAGGCACGGTGCATTCGGCCATAGACATGATCTTAGATTTGGTGAGGACGTTTTGGTGCTCTCAAAATATTGGTGAGGACCATGTGCCTCACAAAAACCTACGCCCAAGGTTTTGACCAATCAGAGCGCCGCTGAGAGAGCAGAGAGACAAGAGAGAGAGTACAGAGAGAGAACAGAGAGAGAACAGAGAGAGAACAGAGAGAGAACAGAGAGAGAGAACAGAGAGAGAGAACAGAGAGAGAACAGAGAGAGAACAGAGAGAGAACAGAGAGAGAGAACAGAGAGAGAGAACAGAGAGAGAACAGAGAGAGAGAGAACAGAGAGACAAGAGAGAGAGAACAGAGAGAGAACAGAGAGAGAACAGAGAGAGAACAGAGAGAGAACAGAGAGAGACCAGAGAGAGAACAGAGAGAGAACAGAGAGAGAACAGAGAGAGAGACCAGAGAGAAAACAGAGAGAGAACAGAGAGAGAGAGAACAGAGAGAGAACAGAGAGAGAACAGAGAGAGAACAGAGAGACAAGAGAGAGAGAACAGAGAGAGAACAGAGAGACAAGAGAGAGAGAACAGAGAGAGAACAGAGAGAGAACAGAAAGAGAGAACAGAGAGAGAGAGAACAGAGAGAGAACAGAGAGAGAACAGAGAGAGAGAACAGAGAGAGAACAGAGAGAGAGAACAGAGAGAGAGAGAACAGAGAGAGAACAGAGAGAGAACAGAGAGAGAACAGAGAGAGAACAGAAAGAGAGAACAGAGAGAGAACAGAGAGAGAACAGAGAGAGAACAGAGAGAGAACAGAGAGAGAACAGAGAGAGAGACCAGAGAGAAAACAGAGAGAGAACAGAGAGAGAGAGAACAGAGAGAGAACAGAGAGAGAACAGAGAGAGAACAGAGAGAGAACAGAGAGACAAGAGAGAGAGAACAGAGAGAGAACAGAGAGAGAACAGAGAGAGAACAGAGAGAGAGACCAGAGAGAAAACAGAGAGAGAACAGAGAGAGAACAGAGAGAGAACAGAGAGAGAACAGAGAGAGAACAGAGAGACAAGAGAGAGAGAACAGAGAGAGAACAGAGAGAGAACAGAAAGAGAGAACAGAGAGAGAACAGAGAGAGAGAACAGAGAGAGAACAGAGAGAGAACAGAGAGAGAACAGAGAGAGAACAGAAAGAGAGAACAGAGAGAGAACAGAGAGAGAGAACAGAGAGAGAGAGAACAGAGAGAGAACAGAGAGAGAACAGAGAGAGAACAGAGAGAGAACAGAGAGAGAACAGAAAGAGAGAACAGAGAGAGAGAACAGAGAGAGAGAGAACAGAGAGAGAACAGAAAGAGAGAACAGAGAGAGAGAGAACAGAGAGAGAACAGAGAGAGAACAGAGAGAGAACAGAAAGAGAGAACAGAGAGAGAGAACAGAGAGAGAGAGAACAGAGAGAGAACAGAAAGAGAGAACAGAGAGAGAACAGAGAGAGAGAGAACAGAGAGAGAACAGAGAGAGAACAGAGAGAGAACAGAGAGAGAGAACAGAGAGAGAGAGAACAGAAAGAGAGAACAGAGAGAGAACAGAGAGAAAACAGAGAGAGAACAGAGAGAGAACAGAGAGAAAGAGAACAGAGAGAGAGAACAGAGAGAGAGAGAACAGAAAGAGAGAACAGAAAGAGAGAACAGAGAGAAAACAGAGAGAGAACAGAGAGAGAACAGAGAGAGAGAGAACAGAGAGAGAACAGAGAGAGAACAGATAGAGAAAACAGAGAGAGAACAGAGAGAGAACAGAGAGAGAGAGAACAGAAAGAGAGAACAGAGAGAGAACAGAGAGAGAGAGAACAGAGAGAGAGAACAGAGAGAGAGAGAACAGAGAGAGAACAGAGAGAAAACAGAGAGAGAACAGAGAGAGAACAGAAAGAGAGAACAGAGAGAACAGAGAGAGAACAGAGAGAACAGAGAGAGAACAGAGAGAGAGAACAGAGAGAGAACAGAAAGAGAGAACAGAGAGAACAGAGAGAGAACAGAGAGAGAGAACAGAGAGAGAACAGAAAGAGAGAACAGAGAGAACAGAGAGAGAACAGAGAGAGAGAACAGAGAGAGAACAGAAAGAGAGAACAGAGAGAGAACAGAGAGAGAGAACAGAGAGAACAGAGAGAGAACAGAGAGAGAGAACAGAGAGAGAACAGAGAGAGACCAGAGAGAGAGAACAGAGAGAGAACAGAAAGAGAGAACAGAGAGAGAGAACAGAGAGAGAGAGAACAGCGAGAGAGAACAGAGAGAGAGAGAACAGAGAGAGAACAGAGAGAACAGAGAGAGAACAGAAAGAGAGAACAGAGAGAGAGAACAGAGAGAGAGAACAGAGAGAGAGAACAGAGAGAGAACAGAGAGAGACCAGAGAGAAAGAGCATTAGTAGTAGCACTAGTAGCATTAGCAGTAGTAGCAGTAGCATTAGCAGTAGTAGCAGTAGCAGCAGTAGCGTTAGCAGTAGCAGCAGTAGCGTTAGCAGTAGCAGCAGTAGCGTTAGCAGTAGCAGCAGTAGCGTTAGCAGTAGTAGCAGTAGCATTAGCAGTAGCAGCAGTAGCATTAGCAGTAACAGCAGTAGCATTAGCAGTAACAGCAGTAGCATTAGCAGTAGCATTAGCAGTAGCAGCAGCAGCAGTAGCATTAGCAGTAGTAGTAGTAGCAGTAGCAGTAGTAGCAGTAGCATTAGCAGTAGCAGCAGTAGCATTAGCAGTAACAGCAGTAGCATTAGCAGTAACAGCAGTAGCATTAGCAGTAGCATTAGCAGTAGCAGCAGCAGCAGTAGCATTAGCAGTAGTAGTAGTAGCAGCAGCAGCAGTAGTAGCAGTAGCATTAGCAGTAGTAGCAGTAGCATTAGCAGTAGTAGCAGTAGCATTAGCAGTAGCAGCAGTAGCATTAGCAGTAACAGCAGTAGCATTAGCAGTAACAGCAGTAGCATTAGCAGTAGCATTAGCAGTAGCAGCAGCAGCAGTAGCATTAGCAGTAGTAGTAGTAGCAGCAGCAGCAGTAGTAGCAGTAGCATTAGCAGTAGTAGCAGTAGCATTAGCAGTAGTAGCAGTAGCATTAGCAGTAGCAGCAGTAGCATTAGCAGTAACAGCAGTAGCATTAGCAGTAACAGCAGTAGCATTAGCAGTAGCATTAGCAGTAGCAGCAGCAGCAGTAGCATTAGCAGTAGTAGTAGTAGCAGCAGCAGCAGTAGTAGCAGTAGCATTAGCAGTAGTAGCAGTAGCATTAGCAGTAGTAGCAGTAGCATTAGCAGTAGTAGCAGTAGCATTAGCAGTAGTAGCAGCTGGGCGGCAGTAGCTCAGTTGGTAGAGCGTTGGCCTTTGAGCCAGAAGGTCGTGGGTTCAAGCGCCGCTCAAGACCTTCACCATCAACTCCCACTGACTACTATCGTTGTGTCCTTGGCAAGACACTTAACCTCTGGGAACAGCAGGTGCCACAGTGGGGCGGCTGCGGCTGTAAAATGCCAAACTGCCGTTGTGTCCTTAGGCAAGACACTTCACCCCCATTGCCTAGAATGAGTCTGGTGTGTGTGTGAATGGTTGGTGGTGGTGGGAGGGGCCGATGGCACAGACTGGTTGCCTCGCTTCTGTCAGTGTGCCCCAGGGCAGCTGTGGCTACAGCAGTAGTTTATCACCACCATGTTTGGAGTGAATGAATAATGACAGATGTGAAGCGTCTTTGAGTGTCCAGAAAAGCGCTATATAAAACCGATGCATTATTATTATTATTATTATTAGTAGCATTAGCAGTAGTAGCAGTAGCATTAGCAGTAGTAGCATTAGCAGCAGTAGCATTAGCAGTAGTAGCAGTAGCTTTAGCATTAGCAGTAGTAGCATTAGCAGTAGTAGCAGTAGCTTTAGCAGTAGTAGCATTAGCAGTAGTAGCAGTAGCTTTAGCAGTAGTAGCAGTAGCATTAGCAGCAGTAGCAGTAGCTTTAGCAGTAGTAGCAGTAGCATTAGCAGCAGTAGCAGCAGCAGTAGTAGCAGTGGCTTTAGCATTAGCAGCAGTAGCAGCAGCAGTAGTAGCAGTAGCTTTAGCACTAGTAGCATTAGCAGTAGTAGCAGTAGCATTAGCAGTAGTAGCATTAGCAGTAGTAGCAGTAGCTTTAGCAGTAGTAGCAGTAGCATTAGCAGCAGTAGCATTAGCAGTAGTAGCAGTAGCTTTAGCATTAGCAGTAGTAGCATTAGCAGTAGTAGCAGTAGCTTTAGCACTAGTAGCATTAGCAGTAGTAGCAGTAGCATTAGCAGTAGTAGCAGTAGCATTAGCAGTAGTAGGAGTAGCAGCAGTAGCGTTAGCAGTAGCAGCAGTAGCGTTAGCAGTAGCAGCAGTAGCGTTAGCAGTAGCAGCAGTAGCGTTAGCAGTAGTAGCAGTAGCATTAGCAGTAGTAGCAGTAGTAGCAGCAGTAGTAGCAGTAGCATTAGCAGTAGTAGGAGTAGCATTAGCAGTAGCAGCAGTAGCATTAGCAGTAACAGCAGTAGCATTAGCAGTAACAGCAGTAGCATTAGCAGTAGCATTAGCAGTAGCAGCAGCAGCAGCAGTAGCATTAGCAGTAGTAGCAGTAGCATTAGCAGTAGTAGTAGTAGCAGTAGCAGTAGTAGCAGTAGCATTAGCAGTAGTAGCAGTAGCATTAGCAGTAGTAGCAGTAGCATTAGCAGTAGTAGCAGTAGCATTAGCAGCAGTAGCATTAGCAGTAGTAGCAGTAGCTTTAGCATTAGCAGTAGTAGCATTAGCAAGCAGTAGCAGTAGCTTTAGCAGTAGTAGCAGTAGCTTTAGCAGTAGTAGCAGTAGCTTTAGCAGTAGTAGCAGTAGCTTTAGCAGTAGTAGCAGAAGCTTTAGCAGTAGTAGTAGTAGCTTTAGCAATAGCAGTAGTAGCATTAGCAGTAGTAGCAGTAGCATTAGCAGCAGTAGTAGCAGTAGTAGTAGCAGTAGTAGCATTAGCGTTAGCAGTAGTAGTAGCAGTAGTAGCAAAAGCAGTAGTAGCAGCAGCAGCAGTAGCAGCAGCAGCAGCAGCAGTAGTAGTAGTAGCAGTAGCAGTAGCAGTAGCAGTAACAGCAGCAGCAGTAGCATTAGCAGTAGTAGTAGTAGCAGTAGCAGTAGTAGCAATAGCAGCAGTAGCAGTAGCGTTAGCAGTAGCAGCAGTAGCAGCAGTAGCGTTAGCAGTAGTAGTAGTAGCTTTAGCAGCAGCAGCAGTAGCATTAGCAGTAGTAGCAGTAGCGTTAGCAGTAGCAGCAGTAGCAGCAGTAGCGTTAGCAGTAGTAGTAGTAGCTTTAGCAGTAGTAGTAGTAGCTTTAGCAGTAGCAGCAGTAGCGTTAGCAGTAGTAGCAGTAGCGTTAGCAGTAGTAGCAGTAGCGTTAGCAGTAGTAGCAGTAGCGTTAGCAGTAGTAGCAGTAGCGTTAGCAGTAGCAGCAGTAGCGTTAGCAGTAGCAGCAGTAGTAGCAGTAGCGTTAGCAGTAGTAGCAGTAGCGTTAGCAGTAGTAGCAGTAGCAGCAGTAGCGTTAGCAGTAGCAGCAGTAGCGTTAGCAGTAGTAGTAGTAGCTTTAGCAGTAGTAGCAGTAGCGTTAGCAGTAGTAGTAGTAGCTTTAGCAGTAGTAGCAGTAGCGTTAGCAGTAGTAGTAGTAGCGTTAGCAGTAGCAGCAGTAGCAGCAGTAGCGTTAGCAGTAGCAGCAGTAGCAGCAGTAGCGTTAGCAGTAGCAGCAGTAGCAGCAGTAGCGTTAGCAGTAGCAGCAGTAGCGTTAGCAGTAGCAGCAGTAGCGTTAGCAGTAGTAGCAGTAGCGTTAGCAGTAGCAGCAGTAGCGTTAGCAGTAGCAGCAGTAGCGTTAGCAGTAGTAGCAGTAGCGTTAGCAGTAGCAGCAGTAGCGTTAGCAGTAGTAGCAGTAGCGTTAGCAGTAGTAGCAGTAGCGTTAGCAGTAGCAGTAGTAGCAGTAGTAGTAGCAGTAGCGTTAGCAGTAGCAGCAGTAGTAGCAGTAGCGTTAGCAGTAGTAGCAGTAGCGTTAGCAGTAGTAGCAGTAGCGTTAGCAGTAGTAGCAGTAGCGTTAGCAGTAGTAGCAGTAGCGTTAGCAGTAGTAGCAGTAGCGTTAGCAGTAGTAGCAGTAGCGTTAGCAGTAGTAGCAGTAGCGTTAGCAGTAGTAGCAGTAGCGTTAGCAGTAGTAGCAGTAGCGTTAGCAGTAGTAGCAGTAGCGTTAGCAGTAGTAGCAGTAGCGTTAGCAGTAGTAGCAGTAGCGTTAGCTTCAGACCACAGAAGCAGATAGGCGTCACTACAGAAGCATGTCCGCTTCGTGTGAACAGGAGAAGTTAACGAGGTGTGAGCGTGATCCCATTACCAGGAACCATCTCCACAACAACTCCACAATCATCCCACAGCTGCCGTTGCCATGGACACACACCACAGGTATTATGGGATGCCATGTGAACGTATGGGAAACAGAAGCGGCGAGAGTTTGGGTGAGAATGTTGCGGTTCATTCATTTGACGATGTGCCATTTAGGCTGTAGACCCAGGACTGAGGCTGTAGACCCAGGACTGAGGCTGTAGACCCAGGACTGAGGCTGTAGACCCAGGACTGAGGCTGTAGATCCAGGACTGAGGCTGTAGACCCAGGACTGAGGCTGTAGACCCAGGACTGAGGCTGTAGACCCAGGACTGAGGCTGTAGACCCAGGACTGAGGCTGTAGACCCAGGACTGAGGCTGTAGACCCAGGACTGAGGCTGTAGACCCAGGACTGAGGCTGTAGACCCAGGACTGAGGCTGTAGACCCAGGACTGAGGCTGTAGACCCAGGACTGAGGCTGTAGACCCAGGACTGAGGCTGTAGACCCAGGACTGAGGCTGTAGACCCAGGACTGAGGCTGTAGACCCAGGACTGAGGCTGTAGACCCAGGACTGAGGCTGTAGACCCAGGACTGAGGCTGTAGACCCAGGACTGAGGCTGTAGACAGGCTGTAGACCCAAGACTGAGGCTGTAGACCCAGGACTGAGGCTGTAGACCCAGAACTGAGGCTGTAGACCCAGGACTGAGGCTGTAGACCCAGAACTGAGGCTGTAGACCCAGGACTGAGGCTGTAGACCCAGGACTGAGGCTGTAGATCCAGGACTGAGGCTGTAGACCCAAGACTGAGGCTGTAGACCCAGGACTGAGGCTGTAGACCCAGAACTGAGGCTGTAGACCCAGGACTGAGGCTGTAGACCCAGGACTGAGGCTGTAGACCCAGGACTGAGGCTGTAGACCCAGAACTGAGGCTGTAGACCCAGGACTGAGGCTGTAGACCCAGGACTGAGGCTGTAGACCCAGGACTGAGGCTGTAGACCCAAGACTGAGGCTGTAGACCCAGGACTGAGGCTGTAGACCCAGGACTGAGGCTGTAGACCCAGGACTGAGGCTGTAGACCCAGGACTGAGGCTGTAGACCCAGGACTGAGGCTGTAGACCCAGGACTGAGGCTGTAGACCCAAGACTGAGGCTGTAGACCCAGGACTGAGGCTGTAGACCCAGAACTGAGGCTGTAGACCCAGGACTGAGGCTGTAGACCCAGGACTGAGGCTGTAGACCCAGGACTGAGGCTGTAGACCCAGGACTGAGGCTGTAGACCCAGGACTGAGGCTGTAGACCCAGGACTGAGGCTGCAGACCCAGGACTGAGGCTGTAGATCCAGGAAATGAGACTCTGGGATTTTATAATACCTTTTTAGATTAAGCCTAAATTAAAATACAAATGTTATACTTCAATCGCCTGCTCCTCCTCTCTCTCTCCTCCCTGTCAGAGCCTGCTCCTCCTCTCTCTCTCCTCCCTGTCAGAGCCTGCTCCTCCTCTCTCTCTCCTCCCCGTCAGAGCCTGCTCCTCCTCTCTCTCTCCTCCCCGTCAGAGCCTGCTCCTCCTCTCTCTCTCCTCCCCGTCAGAGCCTGCTCCTCCTCTCTCTCTCCTCCCCGTCAGAGCCTGCTCCTCCTCTCTCTCTCCTCCCCGTCAGAGCCTGCTCCTCCTCTCTCTCTCCTCCCTGTCAGAGCCTGCTCCTCCTCTCTCTCTCCTCCCTGTCAGAGCCTGCTCCTCTCTCTCTCCTCCCTGTCAGAGCCTGCTCCCTCTCTCTCTCTCTCCTCCCTGTCAGAGCCTGCTCCTCCTCTCTCTCTCCTCCCTGTCAGAGCCTGCTCCTCTCTCTCTCCTCCCTGTCAGAGCCTGCTCCTCCTCTCTCTCTCCTCCCTGTCAGAGCCTGCTCCTCCTCTCTCTCTCCTCCCTGTCAGAGCCTGCTCCTCTCTCTCTCCTCCCTGTCAGAGCCTGCTCCTCCTCTCTCTCTCCTCCCTGTCAGAGCCTGCTCCTCCTCTCTCTCTCCTCCCTGTCAGAGCCTGCTCCTCTCTCTCTCCTCCCTGTCAGAGCCTGCTCCTCCTCTCTCTCTCCTCCCTGTCAGAGCCTGCTCCTCCTCTCTCTCTCCTCCCTGTCAGAGCCTGCTCCTCCTCTCTCTCCTCCCTGTCAAAGCCTGCTCCTCTCTCTCTCCTCCCTGTCAGAGCCTGCTCCTCCTCTCTCTCTCCTCCCTGTCAGAGCCTGCTCCTCCTCTCTCTCTCCTCCCTGTCAGAGCCTGCTCCTCTCTCTCTCCTCCCTGTCAAAGCCTGCTCCTCTCTCTCTCCTCCCTGTCAGAGCCTGCTCCTCCGCTCTCTCTCGGGGTAGCGCAGTCCGACAGTCTTATTAAATGCTGGAGTGAAAACAGTTTGTGCTAATTACCACGCACTTCCCAAAACCGTCTGACAAAGAGAGAGGAATGCTTGTAAATAACAACCATTTGGCACCGAGCATTCTGGATCACCCAGGCCATGTGTACCCACCGCATAGACTGTCTGCAGATGCTAACACGCTAGCTCCATGAAGCCCAATAGGGAAGTGCTCATGGAGGAAGTTTGGCTCCAAGTTGCTCTGGCTCCTATTGACTTACATGTATCTCCCCTCACTCAGTATTTGTTTGTGTCACATTCATCATTTTGGCTTAGAATAATCTGTGTTTTTGCACTCTCTGTGATCCTGGTGTGTTCTTGGAGGACTTTATAGTCGATTTGCCAACACAGATCAGAGAATCAAACAGTTCAAACAGGAAGAACAACAATGAAAAACACATCGAGCCTTTGGTCCATAAAGGACAGAGACCGATGTCCATAAATGTGGTTGAATGTCCAGGATCATAAAGCTGAACCAAATCAGAATTGACCAATCAGATGTCTCCATTTCCCGGCGGAAACTCTAGTCTGCCTTAGCAACCATCTTAGCAACACGTCTGCCCCTGTAGCAGCAGAATAAATGCCCATATAAGGAAATTGGCTCCAGCTAGCTTATGTTTAAATCAGCCTTCACATCTCAGAGTGTTTGTTTTTGTGAGAAGGGCCCAGAGGTAATTTGCTGCATTCTGTTTTTTTGGTTTTTGTCAATCAGAATGTAGCCGCAGCGTCGAGCCAAGACACAAAAACGGAGACAAGGCGGAGATGACTTTCTTTGTTAAACAGGAGCTAGCGTGAAGAGAGAAGATTGAAAGTGATAAACATTATGGCCACTAAGGAACAGAGCCAAAGTCACGTCCTTAAATTGGACCAATCACGCGAGACAGGAACTAAAACGACCGATAAAAGCCCAGAGGAGGTGATTCTACAGAGAACGGAGGGTTAAAGAAGACATACTGTGCTTTGATATATATATATATATATATATATATATGTACTGTATGTATAAGGGAGACCAGACTCTGTCATTTTGGGCACCTCCAAACACGACTGGAGGGAGTCCTGTTGCCATTAATAAAAAGGCAACACTAAGTTAATTGTTTAGCACAGTTCATACACAAGGCATATGAAAGTCATTAAAATCTGAAATAATCACAGTAGATTAAAAAGCACTGTTTTACCCTGAATTTGTCAGAGAAGAAGCCTGTCTCACATTTTAAGGAAGACTTTAGCTGCATGAATCTGATACGCTGCCTCCCCATGTTTAGTCCTGAGTCTGGGACCAGCAGGAGGCCAGTTCCTGTGCTCCTCAGAGTCCCAGCAGGAGGCCAGTCCCTGTGCTCCTCAGAGTCCCAGCAGGAGGCCAGTCCCTGTGCTCCTCAGAGTCCCAGCAGGAGGCCAGTCCCTGTGCTCCTCAGAGTCCCAGCAGGAGGCCAGTCCCTGTGCTCCTCAGAGTCCCAGCAGGAGGCCTGTCCCTGTGCTCCTCAGAGTCCCAGCAGGAGGCCAGTCCCTGTGCTCCTCAGAGTCCCAGCAGGAGGCCAGTCCCTGTGCTCCTCAGAGTCCCAGCAGGAGGCCGGTCCCTGTGCTCCTCAGAGTCCCAGCAGGAGGCCAGTCCCTGTGCTCCTCAGAGTCCCAGCAGGAGGCCAGTCCCTGTGCTCCTCAGAGTCCCAGCAGGAGGCCAGTCCCTGTGCTCCTCAGAGTCCCAGCAGGAGGCCAGTCCCTGTGCTCCTCAGAGTCGCAGCAGGAGGCCAGTCCCTGTGCTCCTCAGAGTCCCAGCAGGAGGCCAGTCCCTGTGCTCCTCAGAGTCCCAGCAGGAGGCCAGTCCCTGTGCTCCTCAGAGTTCCAGCAGGAGGCCAGTCCCTGTGCTCCTCAGAGTCCCAGCAGGAGGCCAGTCCCTGTGCTCCTCAGAGTTGCTTCATATGTCACTAACAGATGAACTTTGAGGCCATAGAGAGACTTGTAAAAAAACAGAGCTGCTTTAAAGTCTGTTCTCTGAGCCTCAGGAAGCAGAGACCCGAGACCAGGACTAATGCGATGGTACTTCCTGGTTCTAGTCAGGACTCGAGACACTCTCAACATCTGGACAATCGGCCCTCCAATGGGACCAGGATGATACCAATGAGACCAGGACGATACCAATGAGACCAGGATGCTTCCAATGGGACCAGGACACTTCCAATGAGACCAGGACACTTCCAATGAGACCAGGACACTTCCAATGAGACCAGGACACTTCCAATGAGACCAGGACACTTCCAATGGGACCAGGACACTTCCAATGAGACCAGGACACTTCCAATGGGACCAGGATACTTCCAATGAGACCAGGACACTTCCAATGAGACCAGGACACTTCCAATGAGACCAGGACACTTCCAATGAGACCAGGACACTTCCAATGAGACCAGGATGCTTCCAATGGGACCAGGACACTTCCAATGAGACCAGGACACTTCCAATGGGACCAGGAAGCTTCCAATGAGACCAGGACACTTCCAATGAGACCAGGACACTTCCAATGAGACCAGGACACTTCCAATGGGACCAGGAAGCTTCCAATGGGACCAGGACACTTCCAATGGGACCAGGACACTTCCAATGGGACCAGGACACTTCCAATGGGACCAGGACACTTCCAATGGGACCAGGACACTTCCAATGAGACCAGGACACTTCCAATGAGACCAGGACACTTCCAATGAGACCAGGATACTTCCAATGGGACCAGGAAGCTTCCAATGTGCTGTCCCTCATTAGCAGAGAGCACATAAAGGCAGACATGTTCGGGAATCCACCATGGTCCTGTGCATTACATGGAGCTGCAGCTTTACTTAAGTATTTATGAGCAGATAAGTGGCGTTCGCTCTCTCTCCGACTGTACTTCTTTACTTCCTGATTGTTTTTTTTTTTCTTTTCAGTTGTAGAAGCTCCGATACGAGCTCATGTATAATTCAGACGTGTCAAAGAGGGACTGGGACGGAGCCTGGAGGTAAGTTTAGATGTTTGTGGTTTGACGGATCTACAGCCTCAGACCTGGGTCTACAGCCTCAGACCTGGATCTACAGCCTCAGTCCTGGATCTACAGCCTCAGTCCTGGATCTACAGCCTCAGTCCTGGGTCTACAGCCTCAGTCCTGGGTCTACAGCCTCAGTCCTGGATCTACAGCCTCAGACCTGGATCTACAGCCTCAGTCCTGGATCTACAGCCTCAGTCCAGGGTCTACAGCCTCAGTCCTGGGTCTACAGCCTCAGTCCTGGATCTACAGCCTCAGTCCTGGGTCTACAGCCTCAGTCCTGGATCTACAGCCTCAGTCCTGGGTCTACAGCCTCAGTCCTGGGTCTACAGCCTCAGTCCTGGATCTACAGCCTCAGTCCTGGGTCTACAGCCTCAGTCCTGGGTCTACAGCCTCAGTCCTGGATCTACAGCCTCAGTCCTGGATCTACAGCCTCAGTCCTGGATCTACAGCCTCAGTCCTGGATCTACAGCCTCAGTCCTGGGTCTACAGCCTCAGTCCTGGATCTACAGCCTCAGTCCTGGGTCTACAGCCTCAGTCCTGGATCTACAGCCTCAGTCCTGGATCTACAGCCTCAGTCCTGGGTCCGTCTGTGATTCAGTCGTTACTCAGTCTGTGATTAAAGATTCCACTCTAGATTGCTGATCATTCCGTACGTTCCCAAAGCGCTCACGCCTTCGTTCTCAGATGTGTTTAAAACCAGATTATTTTTCCCGCTGTTCCACATTCGTCCACATCTCCGGACACTGAAATCTGCCGGTTTGTGTTTCACAGAAAAACATAGCCTCAAAGTGGAACCAGACCAAACGCACAAGTCGCACTCTACAGCGAGAGGCGAAGAAGAGATTCAGCAAAAGGACGATCTATTTGGAAATATTAAAGCTGCAAAATAACAGTTTTTTGTTTCATAAATATTACTTAATGATTGTTCCATAGAAAGAACATATTTTGAGTCATTCCAAGTCTGTTATAAGAATCGTTAGGGTTCTAGTCAGGACTAATGTGGTCGTACTTCCTGGTTCTAGTCAGGACTAATGTGGTCGTACTTCCTGGTTCTAGTCAGGACTAATGGGGTCGTAGTTCCTGGTTCTAGTCAGGACTAATGTGGTCGTACTTCCTGGTTCTAGTCAGGACTAATGTGGTCGTACTTCCTGGTTCTAGTCAGGACTCGAGCTGCTTTAGAATTATTTACACGTGTTCTCCATGTTTGTCATAATTATCACATAGATCTTAATCACGACTGCAGACAGGAGTAGCTCTCTCCCCCTTCTGTTGTATAAAAGTAGCTCTCTGATTGAAAAAGGTTGGAGACCCCTGACCCTCTGGTCCTTAAGGGACAGAGAACAATGTCCATAATGTTAAAAAATGTTAAAAATGTCTATAAATGTTGTTTATCTGGATCTTTTTACTGAGACCCAATAAAATGCGAATAAAGGGCCCTAATCTGTCATCATTAAAGGGCCCTAATCTGTCATCATTAAAGGGCCCTAATCTGTCCTCATTAAAGGGCCCTAATCTGTCATCATTAAAGGGCCCTAATCTGTCATCATTAAAGGGCCCTAATCTGTCATCATTAAAGGGCCCTAATCTGTCATCATTAAAGGGCCCTAATCTGTCATCATTAAAGGGCCCTAATCTATCATCATTAAAGGGCCCTAATCTCTCATCATTAAAGGGCCCTAATCTGTCATCATTAAAGGGCCCTAATCTGTCATCATTAAAGGGCCCTAATCTGTCATCATTAAAGGGCCCTAATCTGTCATCATTAAAGGGCCCTAATCTGTCATCATTAAAGGACCCTAATCTGTCATCATTAAAGGGCCCTAATCTGTCATCATTAAAGGGCCCTAATCTGTCCTCATTAAAGGGCCCTAATCTGTCATCATTAAAGGGCCCTAATCTGTCATCATTAAAGGGCCCTAATCTGTCATAATTAAAGGGCCCTAATC